AAAAAAAAAAACTTGACAGTCTAAAAGTGATTACAATAATGTCATGGAAGGCAGAAAAGGCCATCTTTGTCAAAAGGTAATGAAAGAAAAAGCAGGCTTTTAATTATAATCCTAAAAACTTAGGTCTAGTAATGAGAAAGACAGTTGGTAGGACAATGAGTACTATCATCCCAAATACAGACAGCTTTGCCCTTTTGGAATAAATGCTCACCTCTCAATATCACAAGGGAGTAACTCTTAAATTTTTATTGAAAACAAAACAAAAAACTACAAACTTTGAAAACTGCTTTTGAGTTCATTTCAATACGTAGTTTTCTCTTCAAACCTTGTAAAGACACCACTGTCATTGCCAGGCAAACAATAAAAGGGAATAAAACACTGCATCTCTGACACTGATATTCTGATTTTTAGAAATAGCATGTTTTCCCCCTTGTGAAGCTCCAACAGAAAACCTGTTCTGAGAAATCTTTAAAAATCACTTATCCATCTACTGAATAAACTTGGAAGTAATACTGGATAGCCACTTATGAGAAAGAAACACATTAATCTACTAGATCTTCCTTTCTAGCTCCTCACAAAGCAGTGAGGTACCGAAAGAGGACAATTCCTCACGTGGACAAAGATCAGAAGAGAGACCTTAGTAGAATCCTTCTGCTGCCCATATAAGGTAGCTTAGTTTATTTCCTTCAGTAAAAATAGTGTAATGAAAACATACAGAAAGCCCACTTTGCTCCTTGTATGCTGCTTTCCAAAAGATACTCATCCAAAATTGTTTCTCATTTCAAAAGCAAGTTGAGTCTAAAAATATTGCAAAAATGGAAGTGCTATGAAATGATAGTAAAGAATTAGAAGCAGCCAACTCATTATTCAATCAAGAATTTGGCATAAGCATAAACCGTGTACTATCTATTTTAATGGATCTTAATTCTCCTGCTATCAGCTGAAATTCCAAATCCCAAATTGAACAATGACTAGTGCCAGAATCTGATCATTTTTTTCACCTTTTCTGCCTAATACTATTACAAAAAAAGAACAACAAATAGTACCCCACTTGATATGTAAGATTTATAAAATCTAACTGATAGACAATGTTTAAAGCAGTATAAAATCTTTCATACATTTAAAATGTAATGGCACAGACGAAATAGCCAGTGCTCTTACATTTTAAATGTATGAAAGATTTTCAGGAGACTGAAAATCTTTCATACATTTAAAATTAGTGCCTTTCTACATGCATATTATAAATAAAATACATGGGTTCCAAAAATAACATAATATCCTCAAATCACAGTAACTTTCTAGCAACTGTTTCACAAAAAGAGCAACACTTGAGAGTAAAGTATTATCCATTTGGATTTTTATGTAACTAAGGCAAGTTTTTCCATCCACAGTATTTGCCCAGAAACTGTCCACTGCTAGGAAAAAAAAAAAATTAACTATAGTGTACAAAGGTGGCACCTTCCTAGAAATTGTTACTTTTATCTATTCCAAGATAGATCCAGTATAGGGCTTATTTTTATTTGTAAGAGAGAGGGGAGAGAGAGGAAAAAGAGGGAGGTAGAGAGAGAGAGAAGAGGGGAAGGGATAGAGAAGAGGAGGGAGGGGGAGAGAGAGGGAGGGAGAGAGGTAGGGAAAGAGGAAGGGAGGGAGAAACTGTCTTGGAGGCTGAAACACGGGCCTCCAACATGCTAGGTAAGCACTCTAGCTTCCATTCATCCAGATATTAAATCAAAAACCATGAAGCTTTATGATTTATTTTTAATTTCCAAATACTTAGACCAGCTTAAAATTTGATGTTACTATACTTTCCTTGGCAGAAGATTTCACAAACAGCGTCAATACACTTGAACTTCACTGCTCAGAGCTTCACACCTCAGAGCTCATACACTATTTTAGTATAGTAAGTATGATTTACTCCTGAAACTTACCTCTTTAATAATTCTCCTTAAAATATTACTGTCCTCCATCATTCTAGGAAACATGATGTAATACTTACAATGCTAACTCCCCAGTCTTAATACATCACCTAGAGTTCTAGTAAGTTAGGAGATCTCACATAGAGACTTCAACCGCTAATATTCACTTCTGAATTAATACAACCAAAGTACCTAGCCCACGTCAGAACTATATGTCCTTTTGAATCTTATCCCCAGCCTGGGAGACAGGTAATTAAGGGGCCTCTGACAAGTCTAGCAATCCAACTGATAAATAACTAAAGCTACTTGAAAATTATAAAATTTAATTGTTAAATCTGGTGTTCATATTATCTAGATTTCTTGAAAATAGGAAATTGTAAGACAGACTAAGCATCTCAGAAAGCAAAACTGAAGTGGGGCACAATAGTATATGTCTGCAACCCAGCACTCAGTAGGGCCAGGCAGGACTGCCACGAGTTCAAGGTCAGCCTGAGCTACAATGCAAGACGCTATCAAACAACAACTACACACACAAACATAAGTGAAACTGAATGTATGCAACAGAGAGCACTAAAAGGTGAATACATATAGGTAAATCTAATCTGTGTTTTGGTTCTAAATTTCTTTAAACAATAAAAATGGTTGTGTTGGGATGGTGAAAAAGAAGACTCTGCCACAATAATATGGGCAGCTTGCTAAACAGTTCTCCTTTGCTTCATAAGGGATTCCCACAATGCTGCTCCAGAATCCACCACACAGTGGTTAAGTGGGATCACATCAAAAGCCTCTTTGCCCAAGATCCTAGTTGGGCACAGTGGACAATAAGTACTTCAAGAAATCCAGGAGTTTTAAAAAAGCAAGAAGAAAGAGGTTAATATATTTTCTTAACTTCCTGCTGAGAAATACTGCAATAAAAATTATGTATCAACTACTGCAGCTCAAACAGTAAACAAAAGCCTAAAGAAACATAGAAATTCTACATGAACAAACAAAGCTGAATACAGAAGATTACACGGCATTATTTAGTTTAAAAACTTTAAAAATATAACTTCTTTTATTGAGGGAAGAAAAAACTGGAATTCTTTCTAGCTTACAGCTAAATATACTACTAGATATGATATCCTCCATTATATTACTTAACAGCCTAAATACTTTTATAAAATAAGGTACAGCCTAGCAGTACACTCTATGTGTTAGTAAAGTTTGATTACCTATATTTTAATTGCTGAGCTCTGGGGTAAATGATAACCAGCCATTACTTCTAATTTCAATAAATATCTTAATTTATGATAAATATCATTTCTATTAATCACAAAATATTCAAAAATACTTTAAGAAACATAACACTCAGAAGAAAAAAAATCATTCAAATAACCATCAATCCAAGTATATACTTTACCTTGGCTTAAAATCACAGAGCCCTCTTTAAACTGAAAAATGGGTGTGATAACAACATAATTACTGAAACAAACTGTAACTGCACCTAAAGGGATGATTTTACAATGC